ACTAGGAATGTGAAAGAAGTGATTGGTTCTTTTTTAAAAAATTATTTTAATTAATCAGTTAATTTATTTTTTAAATTTATTTTTTATTGTTGACTAGAGGCCCGGTGCACGAAATTCATGCATGAGGGTGTGTGTGTCCCTCAGCCCAGCCTGCACCCTCTTCAATCTGGGATCCCTTGAGTGAAATCCGGCTACCCGTTTAGGCCCGATCAGGATTGGGCTTAAATGGGCAGTCAAACATCCTTCTCACAATCCAGGCATGGACCCATTGATTGTCCTGGTTACACACATGCAATAGTTTTAAAGGTCTAGGATTTTTTTTTTCTGTAAACCTTTCAATCCATAATTTGACTTTTTTCCCCCTTTCTCTTAAACATAGGCAGAAATCTTATGTTTTAGAACACTTTAGTGGACAGACTTAATTTTTCCTGTTTGGAGTTGCTATATTCTGCCCCTGGGCCCCCCGTCCTCCCATCCCCTACCCATCACCCAAGTGATTGGTTCTAACTGGGGAGATTCAGAAAATTATCATCGAATGGGTAACCAAACCAAAATTTCACCTAACCAAAAATTTCAGTCTCTCCTTATTATATCTTTTAGGAGCCAAATGTATTGATCTGAGATTTCTTTCTTTTATTTTTTCCTGATAAACTTGAGCAATAAAATGGTCTAAAGTCAGGCAGTGTTAGGAGGGAGGTAAAGTCATGTCTCAAGATCAGGGGGGATGGAAATATTCTCTGTCTGTGCTATCCAAAGTGTTAACCAGTAATCACACTTAGGTATTGAGTACTTAAAATAGGGCTGGTGTGACTGAGGAACTGTATTTTAAATTGTATTTAATATTTATTAGTTTGTAAATATATTTTATTGATTTTTTACAGAGAGGAAGGGAGTGGGATAGAGAGTTAGAAACATCAATGAGAGAGAAACATAGACCAGCTGCCTCCTGCACACCCCCTACAGGGGATGTGCCCGCAACTAAGGTACATGCCCTTGACCAGAATCGAACCTGGGACCTTTCAGTCTGCAGGCCAACGCTCTATCCACTGAGCCAAACCGGTTAGGGCTAATATTTATTAGTTTAAATTTGAATAGTCATGTGTCTAGTTACCTACTGTATTGGACAATGCAGGTCTGGATAATACATATTTTGGTTACTCACTGAAAATATGGAGACCTGGCATTTTATGTAGTGAGCTTGTTCAGGATCTTGTACCTGAGCTATTGTGTTGTTCAGCCAAATTCTTGCCACTAAACTACTTTCTAACACTGAGACTATGCCCCTTATCTATGTGACTTACTGACATCCATTGTCTTCTCTGTTGTTATTATTTTTAAAATATATTTTTATTGATTTCAGCGAGGAAGGGAGAGGGAGAGAGAGAGAGAACCATTAATGTTTAGAGAGAACCACCGATCGGCTGCCTTTTGCATGCCCCCTACTGGGGTTCGAGCCTGCAACCTGGACATGTGTCCTTGACTGGAATAGAAGCCAAGACCTTTCAGTCCACAGGCCGACGCTCTATCCACTGAGTCAAACCAGCTAAGGCGTCTTCTGTTATTATTTATGTATGTATGTATTTATTTATTTTTCTGCAAAAAGCTTTATTGTTTCATTTGGTCCAATGCATGGGAGAGGGCTTCAGGGTGGTTAAGAGAATGACTAGTAGTTTTGGGAAGAGGCTCAAGTACCAGGGGAATGCAGAGGAGCCTCTGGAAGGCCTCTGGTCTCCAAAGTCTCATAGTCCTGCTTGAGGGTGAGCCCTTTGAAGAGATATTCACCCAACCCAGCCTGAGGGCCAGTTAGCCTGTGGATGTTAGTCAGGTGGTTGCCCATCTTCTTGATCGGTTTCACCTCATCCAGGAAGTGGTTCACCAGAAAGTCACAGAGATGAGGGTCTGCATGGGTAGAACCCAGGGCATGCAGCTCCAAAAGGGCCTGGTTCAGGTTCTTCTCCAAGGGCAGGGCAGCTTCCATGATGTCCTGAGTTTTGCTCCATTCATCTTGGGAAGGTTTCAGCATGTCCTGAAAGAGAATGCGGCCACCACGCTTGTTTTGCAACTTAAAGAGATGCTCAGTGCCCTCACGTTTCTTCTCTACCGACTTGCGGAAGAAGTGGCCCATGCCCTCGAGAGCCACATCATTACTGTCGAAATAGTAGCCCAGAGAGAGGTAGTTATAGGAGGCCTCACAGATGCAGGTCAGGTGATTGACTGCAGCCTCCACCTCAGTGGAATAACTCTGACAAATTTGAGAGCTCATGGTTATTCAGCAATAAGGAGTTAAGGTAGAACTGGTGTGTTGGTTGGTCCCAGAGGTGATTCTGAAGGTGGTAACTGGATAAGACACAGGAGGGTGGTCGAAGGTGTCCCTGGCTCTGTTCCATCCAAACACTGTTGAAGCAAGAGACAGATCCAGGACTGCTCAGGGCACTGACTTCTCTGTTATTTATTTATTTATTTTTTTATGCTCCCTACTGGGGATTGAGCCCGCAACCCAGGCATGTGCCCTTGACCAGAATCAAACCTGGGACCTTTCAGTCCACAGGCCAACACTCTATCCACAGAGCCAAACCGGCTAGGATGTCTCTGTTATTTTTCAAAACAACTTTCCTGTTAGTTTTTTCCTCTTTTAAAATGGAATTTATTGGGGTGACATTGGTTAGTAAAATTTTATAGGTTTCAGGTGTAAAATTCTATAATACATCTGAATATTATAGTGTGTGTTCACCACCCCAAGTCAAGTCTCTGTCCATCACTTTTCCCCACCTTTACCTCCCCCACCCCCAATTTCTTCTGGTAATCACCCTAATGTTGTCTGCATTTATGAGTTTTTCTTGCTAAATTTCTTCACCCTTTTCATCCAGCTCCCCTAGACATAGACAACAGTATGGTGATTACCAGAGGGAAAGGGGTGGGGCGGGGGTAGTAAATGGTAAAGGCTGTCATATATATAGTGATGGAAATGATATGACTTTGGGTGGTGGGCATACAATGCAATTATACAGTTCATGTATCATAGAGGTATACACTTCAAACCTATATAATCTTATTAACCAATGTCACCCCAGTAAACTTAATAAAAAATATAAATTGAAATCCTTATGGCATTTTCAATAAAAAAATAAAATAGAAAGATTCTAGGCATTTTCAATAAAAAAATAAAATAGAAAAAGATTCTATGATTTTTTTTTATTGTTGACAGTATTAAAGATGTCCCCCATCCCCCACCCCCCTGTCCTTCCCCACCCAGGCTTTCTCTACACTATTGTTTGTGTCCATGGTCTATGCATATATGTTCTTTGGTTAATCTCTTATCATCATCCCTTTTACTTCCCTGCCCTCTGAATTCTGTCATTCTGTTCCATACATTCATGCCTCTGGACCTATTTTGTGCCTAAAAGTGGACCAGTTAGGTGAGAGGAATTGGATAATACTGTGGTTCCTCTGCAAAGGATAAAATAAGGCCCTGGTTAGTGTGGTTGAGCTTAGTTGGCTTAGTTGGTTGAGCGTCAATCCATGCATGGAGAGGTCACCATTCAAATTCCTGGTCAGGGCATGTGCCTGGGTTTCCGGCTTGATCCCCAGTAGGGAGTGTGCAGGAGGCAGTCAGTCAATGTTTCTGGCAGGTCTCTCACTTTCCCTCTCCAT